GGGCTGTTGGGGGTTAGTTGGGAGTGGACGGGGGTTGGAGGACGTACAATTGTTAAGGGAATTGGGCCCGATATTGTGTGGTTGATGGCGACGACGTCGTAGTCCACTATGTGAGGGAAATGATCAGCCGGTCTTCTAGCATGAATATATCCTCGACGATTTGATTATGGACTTGGCCATTGATATCTCTCCTCGGGTGGAGATCTCCCATGATAGAGCGAGGAGCGGAATGGCTGCTGACTCACGCTCTGCTAGAAATGCTATTGTTCGTGACAACTCGACGCTGTCGTCCACGAACGGGACATTGAGATCATGATAGGGCATTTTGGAAAGAGGATCTGCTATCTCTCGTTTTCATTACTGACTCGAATTTGTCTTGATGAAATGGATGGGTTTGTTTGCTAGACGCTCCTGAAGACTCCCTGCACTAACTGTCAGCCATAACCTAACTCTCCTTTTTTTTTCATCCTCGAATACCATTTGGCTCCAAGCTCTTGAACGGTAAAGTGCCGTAGTAGTCCTAGCTCTTAATGTACGGTTCAGTGAACGTAGTGTACTGAATGCAGGCGGATTTTATGGCAGGTCCAAGGAGAACGCAGCTGATGGCAACTGACAAAGAATATCGGTACGGTACCATTAAACAATAGACACGGCAATTCAGACCAACGGACTGGACTTAATAGAATCAAATGCACTTACAATGCTGTTGTGATGGCCCAACTGCACGTCTCATCATCTACAATCATCGACATATCAACTGAATCGAAATATGCTCAAGCAGCTTCGCAGCACCAAACTAGTGGCGGTGGTCGGGGCGTTTCTGATGGCGGTGCTCGCTTGGCTGTGGGTGGTGAGCAGCGGCGGCGGCAGCATTAGTATTACTGCTGCTGCTACAGAGGCATCCCCCGCCAACGCCGCCAACGCCAACGCCAACTCTCTCCCACTCAACACAAGATTCTCTTCCGTCACCTCCAGCCTCAACATCCACTCCTACTCTTTGTCCTCCCTCTCCTCTTTGTCCTCCATCCACCAACTCATCGCCTCCACCTTCCACCTCAACTTCTCCTTTTCCCCCGTCCACGACCCCTCGAACCCGACGTCGGCCAAAGTCCGGGTCATCCCACCTGGATACGTGCCGAAATACTCGCCGCTGGCTGAGGGCGACATCCGGACCGTAAACAAGACCTTCCCGCACGCTCACAGCATGGCGCGGGTCTACGCCGACATCAACGCGAACATGCCCCGCGCGTACTGGGACTATGACTCAGTGAACATCTCGTGGGGCCAGCTGGACAACTACGAGGTGGTGCGCAAGATCGGTACGGTGTCCCGCCATCTCCGTCGCAGGAAAACTTAAAGGAGGGGTAGGCTGATCATCGTGTGACTAGGTCGTGGAAAGTACTCCGAAGTGTTCGAGGGCATCAACGTCGTCAACTACCAGAAATGCGTCATCAAGGTCCTCAAGCCGGTCAAGAAGAAGAAGATAAAGCGAGAGATCAAGATCTTGCAGAACCTGGCGAATGGGCCGAATGTCATCGCCTTGCTGGACGTCGTGCGGGATAACCAAGTGAGTTCCACGCACCACGATGGTACGTGGATGATATGTCCCCTCAATGCTGACTCGATTTTCTTTGTCCAGAGCAAAACTCCGTCCCTAATATTCGAGCACGTGAACAATACCGACTTCCGAAGCCTCTACCCCAAGTTCTCCGACTACGATGTCCGATACTATATCAACGAGCTCCTCAAGGTAGGCTTTTGCGGATTGGGGGGGAATGATTGGCACGCTGACGAGCCTAGGCACTGGACTACTGCCATAGCAAAGGCATCATGCATCGCGACGTGAAACCCCACAACGTGATGATCGATCACGAGAAGCGCAAACTACGACTCATCGACTGGGGTCTGGCCGAGTTCTACCACCAAGGCACGGAATACAACGTCCGCGTGGCTTCACGATATTTCAAAGGTCCCGAGCTGCTGGTCGACTTCCAGGAGTACGACTACTCCCTCGACATGTGGTCCCTGGGCGCTATGTTCGCCTCCATGATCTTCCGCAAAGAGCCGTTTTTCCACGGCAACAGCAATTCGGACCAGCTGGTGAAGATCGCGAAGGTGCTCGGGACGGACGAGCTGTTCGACTACCTCGACCGCTACGACATCGAGCTCGACGCGCAGTACGACGACATCTTGGGCCGGTTCCCCCGGAAGAGCTGGCATAGCTTTATCAACTCGGAGAACCAGCGATTCGTCAGCAACGAGGCGATTGATTTCCTGGATAAGTTGCTGAGATACGACCATCAGGTATGACCGTCCCGTTGCAGTGGTCCTGGGTTTCGCTAACGGACCTTAGGAACGTCTCACAGCCAAAGAGGCGATGGCTCATCCGTACTTCAGCCCCGTCCGGGCTGCCCTGAAGCAATCCACTCAGGCATCCACGAACAACATGGCCGTGGCTCCCGAGATTTGACGGTCCGGATGCGATGATGGCAGGTAGACTGGGACCTGCACCTTCTCTTGATCGTCTGGCGTTGGGGGTGGATCAGGAAGACGGGCGCGGAGTCATTGACAATCTATAGCATTAAAGGCATCGGGATGGATGAATCGGACCGTTATTAGCATACCCCAGTGTTCGTACCTTTATTGCATGATAATGAACTGAGATATATCTACTCTCATATGGTCGGTGTTCGTTTCTCCATAGGAGTCCGAGTGAGATAGAATGTGAAGGGATCTCCGACAGTGATACATATTACGTCAACCTTGAACTGCCACACACCATAATGCGTTAAATCCGAAGACATGAAATTCTCGTCATTAATGAAGTGCCCATATCAATCAGGAAATATTCATAACATGATTCGGAAATATCTCGCATGACGCTGAGGTGGAGCAGCAGCCAGTCACGTCTACAGATCGGCGTCGAAACCTCCAGTCCATGTTCCCTCCTCCTCCACCAGCCCATCACCAGACATAAGTGAACCCAACTTATTAACATCAATCCACACCTCGTCCACCCATCTACTTCCTCGCGTCGATCTCATCCAATCCCCTACCTTAGTCGAACCTCAAACCCCTCACCACCCGAGACGCAAACCACCAGTTATCTCATTTATCTGCAGCAGCAAGTACCATCGACACCATGTCTACCATCGCGCGTCGTCGCTTGATGCGCGATTTCAAAGTCCGTCGACTCCAAGATGTCTTCTTACTCGAGCATCATATCTCCGTCCCACCACCCCATCCTCTCCGATCGAAAGCTAACCTCCCCTCCTCCAGCGTATCCAAACCGACCCCCCCGCCGGCATCTCCGCCTCCCCCGTCTCCGACAACGTCATGATCTGGTCCGTCCACTCCCACCATCAACCCCCCCAACGTCCTCACAGCACTGACACCGCCCTCTAGGAACGCCGTGATCATCGGCCCCGGCGACACGCCCTTTGAAGACGGCACCTTCAAGCTGGTCCTCCAGTTCGAGGAGCAGTACCCCAACAAGCCGCCGCAGGTGAAGTTCGTCAGCCAGATGTTCCACCCGAACGTGTACGCGTCAGGGGAGCTGTGCTTGGACATTCTGCAGAACCGGTGGAGCCCGACGTACGATGTGGCGGCGATCTTGACGAGTATTCAGAGGTGGGTGGTTCCTTTTGAGAGAGACCGGACGATGGAGAGGGCTGGCTAACGCATGATGGGCAGTCTACTGAATGATCCGAATACGTCGTCGCCGGCGAACGTCGAGGCGTCGAATCTGTATAAAGATAATCGGAGGGAGTACACGAAGCGGGTGCGGGAGACGGTGGAGAAGAGTTGGGAGGATTGAACGCCGCCCTCCTCGAGTTTGCAGCGCGCACTATGCATAGATCCATCATCCCGATATCCGACGTGAACATCCCTTGGTTACGAGGAGACGTCCGGACGATCCGCGAGTCTTCTTCGGTCTGGATGATCTTCACCATCAGCTCCATCGTTCATACCCCGTTCCATTGCCCGCACCCTGGTTCTGCAAGAGCAAGCATGGCGTCTGGTTTATCTCGGTGTTCCGTCCGTGATTTGGGATGGCAGGTCCGGACAAGGGGGGGCTTTTGACTACTTCTCGCTTATAGGGGTTTTGGTTATGATATGGAAAGGCGGAATGACCATTCGAATTGCTCATATAGACTAGGATCAGTCCATTAGGAAATGAATATATGATCATGAATGAGTGGACGTGCGACTACATTAATTTCCTTTGCATCTCCTTTGCATCAATGCTGTATGAACAAGGCGGTTACCCATAATGGGTGAATCCTAGTAACGAAGTAAAAGCATGGGATCCTTTATGTAGAAATGATAACACTTCATTTTTCAGACACTAGGAATAATAGAATCACGTTCAAAGGCATTTTACTTCTTCCACTGGGTAAATCCAACACATTGATATTCATAACCCCTCCATCAACCTTTCACGGTTTCACCAGCCCTTGCAAAACACGTCCCTCAGCGCGGGTCAGAGCTGCCGGCCAGGGTGTCAACATTAGTTGCTGGCAAAAGGAATACCTCCACTTTGACAAGTTGACATGCCTTGTTTTCATGGTGACTAACTTACACTCGCTCCCAAACCATCTCCTCCTGATACACGAGATCTACAATTTCATGGTCGGCGCTGCGTGCGCGGGATGATGTAGATCGGGACGACATCGACATATTTACCAATTTACATCCGACGACATTCGACCACGGACCAACCGGGTAACTGGCTTTTGAGGGTGTACGACAGGATAATTGCATACTGCTACCCCACGTGCATGATCTTTACGTGTCCTGGCTGTTCTGGATTCGGGTTTGCCGTCAGCATCAAGGAACAGAAACAGATTTGTTGAGGGGGAGCGGAGGATAGTTGTGTGTTGTTGCTTCAGCCTGCGATACAAGGACCCTGAAGATTCGCGGTCACCATGGCGTAAGTTCTCGGGTTCCTCTTGCAAGTCAACGGGAGACTACAGTATGCTAATGGCACTTGCTACAGGAGCTCCAACAGCATCAAAGGTTCGTGGAGGGCTCCAGTTAAGGGGTCTGATATGCATACTAACCGCGTCGATATACAGTCGTCGCGCGGTTTCGCCCGCAGAACAAGATCGAGGTGACTGCAGGAGGAGAACCGATTGTTGAATTCGCCTCCGACGACACATGTAGTATCCAAGTATGCATATTTCCTAGGAGAAGGTACGTTACGACACGCTGACCATGAGTAGTCCAAAGAGGCCTCCGGGGCCTTCACCTTCGACCGGGTCTTCGACATGAAATGCCGCCAATCCGACATCTTCGATTACTCCATCCGATCCACCGTCGACGACATCCTCAATGGCTACAACGGCACCGTGTTTGCGTACGGGCAGACCGGCGCGGGGAAATCGTACACCATGATGGGCTCCGACATCGACGACGACGAAGGCAAGGGCGTGATCCCCCGCATCGTGGAACAGGTCTTCGCCAGCATCCTATCCAGTCCTGGGAACATCGAGTACACGGTCCGGGTAAGCTACATGGAGATTTACATGGAGCGGATCCGCGACCTGCTGCAGCCGCATAACGACAACCTACCCATCCACGAGGAGAAGAATCGCGGGGTCTATGTCAAAGGGCTGTTGGAGATCTACGTATCCAGCGTCGCGGAGGTCTACGAGGTCATGAGACGGGGCGGTCTAGCGCGCGCGGTCGCGGCGACGAACATGAACCAAGAATCGTCGCGTTCACATTCCATCTTCGTCATTACCATCACCCAGAAAAACGTCGAGACCGGGTCGATGAAGAGTGGGCAGCTGTTCCTGGTCGATCTTGCTGGGAGTGAAAAGGTTGGGAAAACCGGTGCCAGCGGACAGACGCTGGAAGAAGCCAAGAAGATCAACAAGAGTTTGAGCGCCCTGGGCATGGTGATTAATAATCTTACGGACGGAAAATCCACACACATACCCTATCGAGACTCGAAGCTCACCCGTATCCTACAAGAATCGTTGGGTGGTAACTCCCGGACGACCCTCATCATCAACTGCTCTCCAAGTAGCTACAATGACGCGGAAACCGTCAGCACGCTACGGTTTGGCGTCAGAGCAAAGGCAATCAAGAACAAGGCCAAGGTCAACGCCGAACTCAGTCCCACCGAACTCAAAGCCCTTCTCAAAAAGGCGCAAACCCAGGTTACGAGCTTCGAATCCTACATCCAGGACTTGGACTCGGAAGTGCAGCTGTGGAGAAGCGGCGAGAGCGTTCCAAGAGAGAGATGGACACCTGGGTTAACACGCGACATGGCAACCGCAAGAAAGCCAGACACCAGGCCTCCTGTTACGCCGTCGAGGCTCAGGAGTACAGAATCCCGTCCCGAGACGCCATCGAGGCCCGACTCTAGGCTGGACCTGGATAGGGCCGGCACACCGATCACGCTCGACAAAGACGAACGGGAAGAGTTCCTCCGCCGGGAGAATGAGCTCCAAGATCAGCTCGCCGAGAAGGAATCCGCGCTCGTGAACGCAGAAAAGGGCCTGAAGGAAGCGAGAGAGGAGCTCCAGCTGCTCCGACAGCACGACTCCCGCACCACGAAAGACAATGAGAAGCTCGGCGGCGAGATTAACGAGCTCCGTATGCAGGTGGAGAAGATCCACTTCGAGTCCAAGGAGGCCATGATTACAATGGACAGCCTCAAAGAAGCCAACTCCGAGCTGACCGTCGAACTCGACGAAGTCAAGCAGCAGCTGCTAGACGCCCGGATGAACGCGAAGGAAACCACCGCAGTGCTCGACGAAAAGGAGAAGAAGAAGGCGGAGCGCATGGCGCAGATGATGGCGAGCTTCGACCTGGGCGGGGAGATCTTCAGCGACAATGAGCGGAGTATACGGAATGTCATCGAGCAGGTGGAGGCGCTCCAGGAGATGGCCGTGGCGGGCGAGGCGATCTCGCCGGAGGAGATGCAGGACTTGCGGCACAAATTGATGGAGACGCAAGGCATTGTGCGGCAGGCGGAGCTCTCGGTGGTACAGCGTTCGGAGCAGGATGAGGCGCAATTTGCTCGACGCGATGCGCTAGAAGAGCGACTTGGGAAGCTTCAGAAGGAGTATGAGGACGTCCTTGAGGGCAAGCTCGGCGCCGAGGACGTGGACGCGATCAAGTCTCGCCTGGCGGATGCATACGACAACCGACAGAATGGCGAGCATGAAATCGCCCTGGAACTCAAGGAGGAGCTGCAGAAGAAGGCGGAGGAGAACCAGAAGATGAAGACGGAGATGGAGGTCTTGCACGAGCGCATCAAGTCGGGCGCACTTGCCGTCGCGGCGAACGGATCGGCTGTGAACGGCAAGACTATCCAACAGCAGATCACCGAGTTCGACGCGATGAAGAAGAGCTTGATGAGAGATCTACAGAATCGATGCGAACGGGTAAGTCGACCATCTCCAGCACACCCTCCATGTCGAGGATTGAACGTTGTGATTAACATCATCCCACTAGGTCGTCGAGCTCGAAATCTCCCTCGACGAAACCCGCGAGCAATACAACAACGTCCTCCGCACCTCCAACAACCGCGCCCAGCAGAAGAAGATGGCCTTCCTCGAACGCAACCTCGAGCAACTCACCGTCGTCCAGCGGCAGCTGATCGAGCAGAACAGCGCGCTGAAGAAGGAAGTCGCCATCGCGGAGCGGAAACTGATCGCGCGCACCGAGCGCATCCATAGCCTGGAAAACTTGCTGCAGGATAGTCAGGAGAAACTCACCGCGGCGAACCATAAGTACGTGCCGATTGCGCTTCTCATCCGGTCCGCCCCATTGCAGAATTACTGTGCTAACTTCCCGACCCCAGATTCGAAGTGCAACTCTCCGCAGTCAAAGAGCGCCTCGAGGCCGCGAAACAAGGCTCGACCCGCGGCCTCGGCTCGCCGACGAACGCGGGCGGGTTCTTCAGCGGCTCGAAGATTGCGAAGCCGCTGCGTGGCGGCGGCGATGCGAGCGCGCCGATCCCCGTCATTTCGAGCCTGCAAGGCCAAGATCCATCGGGGGCGAAGCGAGGGAGTTGGTTCTTCAACAATCGATGAGATACGCGATGGAGTCTGGGTACGTGAGACGAAGCCGACGTCTGTTTGCCTACGCATTTTCATTTTGTGGAGATGGGTTGGACGGGATACCGGTGGGAGGAGCATTCTGGCGGTGTTTGTTTTGGTATTCATTCTGTCATGTATGAAAGATGGAGTTGTATGGGTCTTGGTTACTCGTGCCCTGTAGAGATTAGATGGGTCTTAGACGTCTTACACTGCGTATGGCGCAGACGACGTGATGGAGACGGTCTCGGATCTGGGTTCCTGTTTGTATATAGGGCATATGCAGGCTACAGTCAACTCAATGACAGAATGACATTGTTACCATGAAGATCTATTGTAACAATTATTGTTCCTATGCTCGTGGCAATACGCCAATCGGATTTATCGGGTTCTTAAAATGGTTTGAAGGAATAATATTCCCAGGTTTGTTGACAAATATGGCGGTGGAATCGATGACTCCGACTCAGCGCTGCCCGAAGTCGGCAGGTCTTGGCATTAGAATATCGAAATGCTCTCGACGAACAATTCATCCAACAGAAAATATTCCGTAGCTATAGACGTTCAGGGAAAGACGGAACAATGTTTGATTTACAGACTTGCGCTCGACCAAATATCCTGGCCTTGCAGCCATATAGATGTGCGCGAGAGTATGAACCCGCGGATCCAAAATCTTCCGCCCTCAACTGACGTGACTCAGCGACTACAAAGATGATGGCACCAACATCCTATTAGATGCCAACGAGAACGCATATGGGCCCGGACTGGCACTTGAAGAGCTTGGAAAACAAAAGGAGATTCAATCATCCGGCCTTGAACTCGAAGTCGATCTGCAAGGGCTGAACCGATACCCAGATCCGTAATCCTCTCCCGTCCCTCCACCTAACGCAGTCATTCACATCCATTGCAGCCACCAGACCGAATTAAAACAGCTCCTCTGCGATCTAAGAAATGCCGAATCCCAATCCCCCACGCCCCTCCGACCCGACCACCTCTTCATCGGCGTCGGCTCCGACGAAGCCATCGACAACCTCATCCGCTGCTTCTGCGTCCCCGCCCGTGACAAGATCCTCACCTGCCCGCCCACCTACGGCATGTACAGCGTGAGCGCTTGTGTCAACGACGTTTCCATCGTCAAAGTCCCACTCCAAGCCACCAACGACTTCGCCCCGGACGTCCCCGCCATCTGCGCCGCCCTCGCCGCCGACCCGTCCATCAAGCTCGTCTACCTCTGCTCCCCCGGCAACCCGACGGGGACCGTGATCCCGAAAGCCGCGGTAGATGCGATCCTCGCGCACCCATCGTGGAACGGCGTGCTGATCGTCGACGAGGCGTACGTGGACTTTGCCGCGCCGGGCAGCTCGTTCGCGCCCGCGGTGCCGACGCACCCGAACCTCGTCGTCATGCAGACGATGTCCAAGGCGTTCGGCCTCGCGGGCCTCCGCATCGGCGCGGCGTTCTGCGCGCCCGAGGTCGCGAATCTGCTGAATAGTCTCAAGGCACCGTATAACATCTCGGCGCCGACGAGCGCGTTGGCGCGGGCGGCGTTGACGGAGAAGCACCTCGCGAGGTCGACTGCGCTGAGGGACATGATCGTAAAGCAGAGGAACCGGATGGTGGAGGAGTTGCCGAAAATTGAGGGGGTGGGACGGTTCAGAGGGGGGTTGAACGCGAATTTCGTATTGGTGGAGATGCTCGATGGAAGAGGGGGGAAGCCGAGTAATGAGGTGGCGTTGAAGGTGTACGAGCGGTTGGCGGAGGACCGAGGCGTGGTAGTGAGGTTTAGAGGGAAGGAGGCAGGATGTGAGGGCTGTTTAAGGATCACGGTGGGCACGGAAGCGGAGGTGAGTAGGTTTTTGAAGGAATTACGGACCGTGTTGGGGCTTATATTGGGGCACGATTCGACGAGGGCGGCGGACGAGGAGGCTAGAGAGCAAGACGCGAACGCGATCGTAGCTTAATGTATCGCATTTGAGGCTCGTGTGAGTCTACCATACAAAGAGTGATGCCCCATGGCGACATCGCAACCTGCGGAGTCCGATGTTGGACTCCCGCGATGATTCTAGAATCCAAGGTACTCCATTAGCCGCTCCGTAGAAGCATCCATGCATCCATCCCTATGGCTTTCGGATGACGAGAATTGAACCCCATATGAACTCCACAGCACTCTAGTAAGGCGCTCGTCGGATGTCATCCGAATCAACGTCGCTGAAACTAATAATAGAGGAACTCCAACCAATGCCGTGAACCCACCACCCTAGATGATGTAACAAAAACGGACAATAGCCCTCTGAATGGAGGTGTATTACTCGAAAGTCATTTTGACTTCTCGCTCGCCGCCAAACTCATCGTTGTCCCACACATTATGCCCGAGGTCGATAGGAACAGGCGGCTGCAGCGTCCGGGAGTTAGGCGAACCATTAGCCTGCAAATTCGACGGTGAATGATCCTGACTCGCCGAACCAGCCCCGGCATTCGACGATGCCGGATCCAGAGTCACACTGCGCGCCAAAGGCGGCGCTGCACCGCTCTTCTCTGGCCCATCATCTGCCGGCATCTTCTTGGAATCCTGGGGGAGGACTGCGGGCGTCGACTGGGTCCTGTCGAGCGGTGGATGTAAGTCCAGCTTCATCGGCGGCAAGGTCGACTCCAGCTCGCGAGGGGTGATATCCGCTATATCTAACTGCATCGGCGGCAGCGTGGATTCTAGCTGTTTGACCTGCATGCCCTGGACCGCCAATTCAGCAGCCTCCTTCCGGATGGCGTCGACATCGAACAGAATGCCACTGTTGCTCTCTTCGCCGCCCGGCTTCGTCTTCTCATCGTAGACTTCCCACTCTTTCTTCTCCGCCATTTTCTTTGACTTGAAGAGCCCGAACCGCTTCTTTTCCGGCTTCTTCTCGAGCTCTTTCCGAGCCTCCTCGATTTCATTGATCAGCTCTCGTTGGCGCTTTGAGTGGTTCTCGGGGTCGGGGTCTTCGATTTCGGTGAATTCATCGCTTTCGACACTCCAGCCCACTTCTCGCAATAGACGAGGCATGGCCTGTCGGTAGGCCATGTGGCCATTGACGAACGGGCCGGCGTCAATGTTTTCTATTCCAGGTATCTCGACAGGAGCTAAACCTGCGACTCGGGCAATACCGCCTCCCGTCGCGCGGAAGAGATACCCTATAGCGAAAATGGTCAGAAGGGGTTAAATCCGAACGTTTCGGAAACATACCCAGAATCCAGTCCCCTGCAACATAACCATTCACGAAACGCCCTGTCACGACCGACCTTGCCTTGATATACTCATCTTTCTTCGCGACCACGGGCGATCCGAAGAGGTACACGTTCTGCACGAGTCCGAAAGCGCCCTTTTTGGCCAGCTCCTTGAGGGCAGTGAAAATCAGACGGGACCCGAGAGAGAAGCCAACCAGAGTAATGGGCCGGGCACCCAAGTTTCGATCGATTAGCGAGTCCGCAAAAATGAGTCCAGCCGCATCGGCTCGTGCGAGGGAATTCGTCCAAGGGTTGTCGATTAGGTATGACAGCTTCGTTAGGATGATAGGCAGTTGGATTGCGGACATCAAAGCAACGAGGATGGTTGCTCCCAACACTTGTTGGAGGCCCTGAGTGAGAGCCTACATCGAATTTAGCAGGCGGTTAAGGGGAGCAAGTAGTGTACTGACCTCAGTTGCTAAGATGTTGATGGTATCTCCCATACTCTGCAGCATCTTCGGCTCCCACAACACTGAGTATATATCACCCATGATCGGGTCGACGGTACTGAATGGAAGACGAACGTCATCGACTTTGCCAGTCATCCACCCAGAGACTGTGACGATCAAATTGACTCGTTTGTTGTTGTGGAGAGGCCTGTACTCGAACGTCTCCACTGCCCCCGTTCGTTTATCTGATGCTCTGAGCCCTATGCTTCCCCCAGTAACGATACCAGTAGTCGTAACAATGGCAGCACCACCCGCTCCGGCGAGGAAGCCACTAGTACCCGCCACGCCAATCGTAGTGAAACCCGCTGCAAGTCCAGCGCCGATGACAGGGGCGAGGAGACCGGCCGATAGTCCAATAACCAGACCGCCACCAACGGTCGCCAGTCCCATCATGACATACCGTCGTTTTCGTGCGAGTTTCTCTCTATTCGACATGTGGTCTTCTTCATTCCAGTTCTCCTTGTCGGTCTGCTCCTGCATTTCCAAGGCATCGGTAACCCGCTTCTCGAAGCGACAGATGTCCTGCCATGGAACGTCTAAGTATGACGCAACGATTTCAAGCAGCTGTCGGGAGCGGGCATCGTAGGATGAGTCGGAGATGAGAACCAGGAAAAGGTCACAGAGGACAGTCCACCGGATGTCGATGTCGATGACCTTGGTCTGAGGGAGTTGTGAGGGAGTTCGAACAGCTTCTTCAAGTGTTTCGCCATGCTCGTCATAGGATGGTGGCGGATCGTAGGATGGTGGCCGATCTGAGCCAACGCTGGGTCGGGGTGTGTTTTCTGGTGCCAGCTTGTCCGGTGAAGGAGTCCTTTGAACCTCCATGACTTCCTTGCTCGGAGAGGCGGGACGGGGTAGAGCGGTTGAATTTCGGCCCGAAGAAGCGGCACCTGTGCCAACGGTAGGGGGATCGTTTTCAAGTGCTAGCTTGTCCAATGAAGGAGTTCTTTGATCCTCTATAGCTAGTGTAGTCGAGGAAGCGGGACGGGACAAGGCCACCGAGTTCCGGGCTGAAGAAGAGACATTTTCACCGACCGGGTTCTTAACCCTCGCATTGAGCATCAACGTAGGACTTAGATCACCCGGCTGGACACCGTGTTCCGCCAATTGCTCGATCATAAGTTGTTCTTCGGCAGTGATCTCCATATGCGTATAGAGGTGGACCTTGATCTTCTGGCTCCATTTCGTGATCGAGTCGTGCGCTTTGTCCACCGCCTTCTTCGAATTCCTCGTTCTCTCCAGGCTTGCCACTTCCTTGATCATGTCTACCATCGCCAACCGGACCAGGCTGACATACGCGATCTTCTGCCCTTCCGTCAAGAGCTCCTTGGTCGCCTGAAGCTGTGACATCGCATCCCTCACATCTTCATCTTCATCCATCAGAGCTGTGCCTTTGCCTTGGTCTTTGAATAAGTATGCAGTGTTGTCATCCATGCTAGTGGCCGATTGAGCGTCCTCGTCCAGCTGCACACGTGTGTATCCTCTACCAGCGCCACCCAACCCAGTATAGGGGTCGTCGTCCTCGTCCAAATCCTCCTTTTCCCGCGCAATGAGCTTGTTATCATCGTCGTATATGTCGAATGGAGCGTACGCTGGCATCTCCGCCCAATCCATCTCCTCCTCCTCCTCCTTCACCGGCTTCTGGTTTTGAGTGACCATTTGCTGGTATGACCATTCTGACGCAAATTGGCCGCTGTTGGATTTGGAATGGGTGGATTTGGCGATGCTGTTATTCCGGGCTCGAGCGGCGTCGACTTCGATCTGGATGGACTCGGATAGATTACGCTTGTGTGGACCATCTGGCCTGGTTTCTGGCACATCGCTTGAGCATTGTGCAGTATTCTTCTTGATCTCATCCTTTGCTTCCGGCTGCTTCATTGGTTGTGCGGTGCTATTCTTGCCCTCATCCGTGGTTTCCGGTTCTTTCATTGGTTGTGCGGCCGGTTCGGCCATGTCTTTGTTCTTCCCCTTATCCTCCGAGTCCTGTGGCTGTACAGCTGCAGATTCAGCTATCTTGTCCAGAGATGTCTCAGGCCCCTTCCCAGCTTCGTCCGGCCCGGGGGCTTCGGGAGCATCCTCAAAGGCATCCTCCTCGTCGGAATCTGGCGGGGAGGGTTTTGGTTTTTTGGGTCGAATAGGGAGGCCAAACTCGTCTAGCTCGGGCTTCGACTCTGATATAGCACCGCCAGATGGTATCGACCTTTCGGGAGTAGAATCCTTATTATCGCTAGGACCGACTGCGGAGCTCTTTGCGGAAGTGCCATCCTCCCCTTGTTTATGGACTGGTGATTCTGACATTGGTACAACTCATGATCTGGTTACACGGATTGGCTTGGAGCGGCCAAAGCCGGGTAACAGATGCAACCAATGTCAGTAATAGGAATATTAATGTGAAGAGTAGTGATGAGGAGAGGAATCAGTAATGCCGCAACTCCGCAAGTCACACCTTGAGTCCTTGACAAGACCCTGCATTACTAGTAGTACTCCTAGTTAACTTAGTGACCATCATACTAACTACATGGCTACATTGGTCATTGGCTAGAAATTCCATGAGGGATGAGCTCATCCATTATTCCATATTGGGCCTAGCGTGGATCATGGATAGTGATATGGGTGGCTCGTGCACGCCAAACCTGCCTTGTAGCCTTGTAGCCTTGTTCCCGCATTTTTCTTTTCCCAGCAACATATCAATAATCAGACTGCTGAATTTCAATTTCATACAGGAAGTCGGAGCTGTGTTCTGCTGCTTTAGGTGCCTTGATTACATCTAACAAGATGCGACTAAAGCGGGCTAAGGCATACCGCAAGCTATTGCACTCTTACAAGCTGCATTTCGGGTTTCGAGAGCCGTTCCAGGTCATCGTCGATGCCGAGTTTGTGCAAGATGCCGCCAAATGCAAGATGGATATTCTCCCGGCGATCACGAGGACATTGCAAGGAGAAGTCAAGCCGAGTATGTTCATGCGTTACTCCACACCGTCATATGCTGATCGTTATTCTAGTGATTACCCAATGCTCCATGCGACACCTCTATGCGACCAAGGACTCCCAGTTGATCGACCAAGCGAAAACATTCGAGCGACGACGTTGCGGTCACCATGAGCTGGATGAACCGCTTTCCACCCTCGAGTGTCTATCCTCCGTGGTCGACGCGAAAGATAACAAGACGAACAAACACCGGTACATCATTGCCAGCCAGGAGCGTGAAGTGAGGATACAGATGCGCCAGATCCCGGGTATCCCAATACTTTTTATCGACCGAAGTGTGCTCATTCTGGAGGACATGTCGGCCGCTACAGTGAAGGAGTGCCATGGCCAAGAGCGGAGTAAGTTCCTGGAAGGATTGAAGACGCGAGGCACTCTCGGGTCCCCAGCGAAGCGGAAGCGGGCCATAGACGACGAGGCAAATGCCGCAGAAAAGGACGTGGACGATTCCCAACCCGATGAAGTGAAAGCAGTAAAGAAGAAGCACAGGGGCCCGAAGGCACCGAATCCACTCAGCGTCAAGAAGCGAACGAAGCCGACGCATACCTCAGACAAGCCTAGACAAGCGGAAGGTGAGCCGTCCGGCAACAAATCCCAGGGCCAAGAATCGAATGGTGCTCCAGACCACGCGGAAAGCCAGGAGGCCGGGCAGAAGAAGAAGCGGAAGCGGACCCGGAAAGTGGACAAGGGTCCTGCTGATGGCGGCGATGCAGGACCTGCGGATGGAGAGACGTTGAGCGTTGGATCTCCGGGATGAAGATACACATGCAAGATTGGCATGTTTGCAACTCCATGATCCCGGTGGAAATCACGAACTCGGGAGCACCCTCAGCGAAGGGGGCGCATAGGCGCAATTTGCTGCTAGGTATCTCGCTCCAATACGACAGCAAGAACAGGACAAGGGGGTCCTTCAGACTTTCTTGCCTTGGGCGAGGAGGTCTGATACCTTGGGGGGCAAAACTAGAGTACTCCTGTCGTTCCGTTTGATGAATTCGACGATGACCTCTGCGGTCTTTTCGGGCAGATCTTCTTGAATGAAGTGACCGGCAGCGGGGAATACTTGCAGTTGGAATTTGCCTGCGAAGGTTCAGTTGACGTATCAGAGGATACAGTATCCAGAACAATGACACGCTGAATGAGACAACCGCTATCCACGTACCTTGCATCTGCCCAATCATCAACTCCTTATCCAACCGATCGGTTCCGGCAAGCAGTAGTAATTTCGCCCCTCGAGCGCTCAAGAACTTTCTGCTCATCCCGACAAACCAGTTCTCCCAGTAGGTCTGCGTGCCCGTCAGGTCCGTCCGCCATGTCCACCTCCCCGTGGATGTTTGCATAAGTAGCGATGGCACCGACACCCGTGCCGATTCCGGATTCCGCAGGGTTCGCGACCGGATATGCCAGTCCACCGCACTCGAAATAGTCGGGAAGATCGACGGCCGGGAGGAGAGATAGGATTGCATATGCTTGATCGTCTCCATCGCCGACCCCTCGACCACATCCAGCACCGCGTAGCCCATGAGCTTGTTGCCCAGCTGCCCGGTCTTGGCCGTATGCGTGACCACCGCCCCTCCCAGACTATGCCCGACCAGCCATATCTCCGGCAACGTGGGCCAATTGAGTCGCGCTTGGGTCAACTGAATCATCTCGACCAGATCATCGCTCAACGTCTGAATCGACAGGTCTTTCTGCACGGCTCCGCTCGCATCGTGCACCACCGAGCCATGCTCCCTTGCCTCGACCGCAAGAATCCCGGCTTTCGGGAGCAGCCTCTGGAGCTCGAGCGTGAACAGCGCGAACGACAAGGCTGACGACCCGGCGCCGTGATGCAGCACCACAAGCGGCGCTCTGGGGTCGGTGGACGGCGTATGATAGACGTGGAACTTGGCGACCTCGCCGTCCTTCTCAAGCTCGAGGTAGAGCTCCTGGGCGAAGAAGTCGGACCATTGGATCGGGGCGGCGGGTTTCAGAGATCCGGAGGGGATCACGGTGCCGGTTGAGGACATCGAGGAGGCGGACGACGAGTCATCTTCGCGTTCCTCCTTGTCTTCTGGTAATGGTGGTTCGGGAGGGAGCGAGGCCAGCTTGGATGCCACAAAGGAGCGGGCGAGGTCGGACATGTTGCAGACCTCGGGGTTGATTGGGTCTTATTACTTAGGCCACATGGGAAGGCCTCATTCCTAAGCTCTTTTCTTGGATGTCAAATTATTGTGCCTTATAGATTTGATATGCCAGTATCTTGAAGGTACGGAATACAGCGAGGAGGTCAGCATCGCATGTCATTATGTCAGCTTGTTGCTAGGCCAGGGCGCCAGGCCGTGAATTGTTGACGAGTCGCAGCAACACGTGATCACTGGTCTGTCTTCATTCTTGATGATTAATTTGTTTCATTGCTCGATTCACCTTAGAACAACATCGTGGCGCTTTGGCTAGCCTCAGACTGGATCGCCATGGCGATCCCCAACTCCCCAAGTGGAACCCCCTGATGACAATTGTGATTTGTAGAGGATAGATCTCCTCGCCCCTGTCCAATATTTTCATGGCGCTGCCTGGCAGGACGGCTGCTTGCTCCACCGGACAAATGGTGCTCATTCACATCGTCCCATTAGGGCACGCGCCCCGATTGCTGCCGTTTCTCAATTCTTCACCGTGCTTGAAGAGTCATTGTTGTACATTGAGTCTTTGCAACCTTATTCTACTCTTGCTCTACATTGTGCATGTCAATTGATCTTCGTTCCATACTTATGCGATGTTCAGAGCCGAATAACGCGACGCAGTCGAGCCTGGTTCCTTGCAGCTTGAACCGACCAGCTTCCATCCCTGAACCCTTGCGTAGATCCCCACGAGGCACGAAGACACGAGTTGCGACCCTGTCTGTTGTCCTGGTCCCTCACAAGAAGCGGGAAGCTTCCATTTCACGCCCTCGCAGGCCGACTCGAATCCGAATGCTCGCAAGAGCGACGTCTCGCGACTGTTAATTTGGCGTAGGATCGCCGCCGTCTGATCAAGATGACGGAGAACGGGCGCGTCCAACTCTCGCTGCCCAACGATGATGAATCGCCAGCAAAACGGATATCTACTCCAGCCGGGGAGCGCCTCTCTGTCATCATGGATAATCGTGCCTCTAATGCTGGAGAGACCTCGTCAAAAAGAAGCTCGGGAAGGTTTTCGAATCGAACCTCGATCTTCACGCCGATGAGGAGCTCGTTTGGCTTTGGGGAGCCGCCGAGGGAGAGCCTGGAAAACAAGGCGTTTTCAAATGGTGGTGGTTTGAGGGGTCTATATACTACCAGTATCTGGAGCGAGCTGGGAAGTGTCCCGGAGGAGAAGCGAGGGCCCATGGCCACCTTGAGAGGGAAAAGATTATTCTCAGATCGAGGGAGGCGGAAGCGCATCCTGCTCATCATAGTGGTAATCGTCTTGATTATCATAGCTCTGGCTGTCGGACTAGGCGTCGGACTGAGTAGAGGAAGCTCTCCGAGGTTCGTTTACCCGTCAACCGACTGCAAACCTGCGCTCACATTCAACAGCCTAGATGTACCAGACCCAAACCAGTCCACTTCGAATCCATCTACTTCTCTACCCGGTACTTCGGGAGCAAACCCTCCGCCTAAGGACTTTCCTCTGGGAACATATTCCATGACCACCTTCCTAGACACGATCCAAACGAACTGCACCTCAAATCCTGACATCTGGCGCTGCCCCCCATATACGATCTACAACACTTCACCCGAACAATCTCTCGCGACCTTCAACTGGACGATCTCGGAACCGTCGTCTGGAAATTGGGTGATTTCTAGTGCCGACAACTCTTTGGCTGCTTTGAATTTCCAGAATGCGCGTTTGGCCCTCCTCGACCAAGGCAAGGACTCCGAGCGATATCGCTTCCAAGTAACCACGGACAAGATGGTCAAACCAACGGCATCTTTGACCGGCGACAACGTTGGAGCGACATGCTACTTTAACGCAACTACGTTCACCGGATTCCTATACACGAAGATGGCGAGAGACTATCCTAATGACCGGATGGCGACGAATGGAGATCCGGCGCATGATCTGTGGCCCTATGCAATTCGTGCCGAAGAAGTCATTTCTGCAGGCGAGGGCATTCCTAACTGCTATCGGGACGACAACTGGGAGAGGATTGAGAACGGTGCAACACAGTCGATTGGTGCAGGCGATGGAGGTAACCTGTGTAGTTGCCTGTACAAGAATTGGAGAACGCCATCTTGAGGATGGCTTTGGTTTTTGTTTGATCATATTGGAAGCGGGCAGATGGCGTTCAGTACTCTTAAGCGGAAGCGGACGGCGTAATCTTGGGGCCGATGAATACCTCATTGGTGGAAGCGTTACTTAGCAAACGTATGTATATATGCTTGGACCTTAATTTTTAAATGTATATTATGCTACTGCAACTAGGAGAGCTCGATGATTGTGAGACCATATCCTTCTGTTCCTTAGAGATATTGAAAGTGAAAGCGCTGATCTGGTCGCCCACGGCAATTGATCTCATTAGCTTCAATGCTTGCACTCTATGAGGCCTTCCAGAATGTCTCCAGTCACCCCGACCAAGGTGTCACGAAATCATCCCTGCCCGGGAATGCCGCTGGCCTGCTTCGCAAGGTCGGGCACCCCAATCTCCTTCACCACGACCTCCGCCGCCGTCTTCTCAGCCGACACGACCTCATTCTTCTTCTCCCCATGCGCCTCGCGGCCGGCAGCAAAGACCTTCTCAAAGTCATACTCAAACCATCGAATATCCGGACTCAGGCCCGCGAACTTCCACACGCCATCGACCTTCTTATACCAATGAATATTCGTCGAATGCGCATGCCCCTTCACCGCCACCTCCTTCAGTGTCGCGTCAGTATACTTCTGATGCGGGACGCGCAGCTGATGGTAGCCGATGACCTCGTCCTCAGACACTTTCTCCCAGCGCGTGCCGCCGATGAAGTGCTGGGTCTTCAACGTCGGGTCGCCGAGGACGGTCGGGTCGGATGCCATGGCGAGGAACTCGTCCGCGGGCATCGCATCCCATATCTTGTCGAGGAAGGAGCGGTAGTCGATCCGGAGGGTTGGGGCGATGCATTTGGCGAGGCGGGCCCAGTCTTTGGAGTCGTAGGAATCGGCCCATTCGAAGAGAGCGGTGGTGAGGCCGAGGTAGTCTAAGAAATGTTAGGAGTATGCGCTTCTTGGGGGCTTGGCGCCGTACATACCGTCGAAGGTGATGTTTCCAGCCATGTTGATATCAGGGCAATCAAGGAGGTTCAGGAATAATGTCCGATGTTGTATGGAATTTTGTAAATAGGATGCTTAATTCCAACATCATGATATCTATCATTTTATATTACGGTTTAATTCCATCTTTATTGTCCGAAGCTCCTTCTTTCCCATTATCGGATCCCCATTTCCCCCAACTTCACTGTCACGGACTGTCTCTCGGGATTAAGTGGGGCTCCGACGTCGTCTCCGGGGACCACAGCAGCACAACAGCCTGATTGCACATAATTACTGAGTATTCTATTAGGGGAAAAGCAAATGACGGCTAGATCCTCAGTTTCGTTGCACAATGCCCAATGTGTGTAGACCAAAATTGTTCGTGACGTTCCCAGGGTTTGGCACTAATTACTCTAGAGGTACACCTACCAACGGAACCTAAAAATGGTCCACAGCTTTGCCCCATGTTCAGGTTTTACATCCCGTTGGCTCCAAGTAATATTGTAATTCTCATATGAGTAGACGAACTGAGCAAGTCAGCTGGGTATTACGGTACTTTCTTTCCATTTCTGAGTTGACATCTCGTTCTCTTTTTGTGTAAAGTCCCCATTCCTGGCATTTGACCGTCGAGGTTGAGGCCTTGGTGGGAACTGGGAGTCCATACCGGACATCTGCTCTATGTCGTCCTTTGCCTTCGGATTTGGAGGAGATGATATTGAAGCCGACGAAAATGACCTTCAAACACCCGGGGAAGGGAGCAGTATAGATACGGCGGAGGGCGAGGTCCAGCCGTCGGTGCCACCCAAATCTCATGATATCAGGGAGCTTGTAGGTATTTCCAACTTTTTATGCAACCTTTTCTACCGCAAAGTCAATTGCTTTTACTACATGCCTTGAAACACTTTGGACCAGCGAAAATCATTTGCTGAAACACCATCAGGTCGAGAGCCTCCCATCCAGGTTATCTTATAATGTCATCACTATCGAGTCTCCACAGGGCCACCGGATCCGGCTGCCTAGGAGAGAACTGTTTGATATCCGAATGCAGTTGATGGCAGAAGATGTGGGAGACTCCAATGCGCCGCTCGAAGGGCTCGACAACTCGGACCTCACCACAAATGTCTACGAAGGCGGTTTCAAGAGCTGGGAATGTTCAATAGATCTCGTCAAGTATTTACTAGACCGAGGACCTAGGAAAGATCTGGACGATTTATGCCGTGTGAATCACATCATTGAGGTAATGCCCTTATGAGTGTATGAAGGTGAGAAGCAAAGTTCAGTATTAACTAGCAGATAGTTCGGCTGTGGCACGGCACTCCCGACCCTTCTTATGTTCCAGTACGCTCTTGTGAACTCATTACAGATGTACTTCACCCTGACCGACTATAACGCCTCCGTCCTCCGCACCTGTTCTTTTCCAAACCTATTCCTCACATACTGCTCCACTCTCCCTGCAACGGAACACCCGTTCTCGGAGAGTGAGCCGAATCCCCTAGCAAACCTCAACGATGCAGATCCAGATGAAGAGTGGCAGACGGAAGACCTCATCGTTACCGAGGCCCTGAAGGAAATGTTCCTAGCGAACCTATCGGAATCGGGAGTTCACTTGACACTTATATCGGGATCTTGGTGTCCTCCATCACCTTTCCTGTCTCTTTTCCCTACTAACGGCGCATCCGCCAAGTTAAACACATTCGTAGTCGCGTCAGAGACGATCTACTCCATCCCATCTCTAAAAACCTTTTCTGCAGTCCTGATGGATACCCTGCGCCCAGTATCAATGGGCAAAGCAATCATTGCTGCAAAGAAGGTCTATTTTGGAGTCGGAGGCGGAGTGCAGGAGTTTCGACAGGAGATCGGCCACGGCGGTGGAGTCGCTTGGGAAATTGTCGACTTTGATCTTGGACAAGATGCTGGCGGAGTCGGAAGGTGTCTACTGGAAGTTCAGACATCGTTTTAGGCAGAGACAAGACACGCCTTGTTTTAAGGCAACAGCATATCTGTCCTGCCCGACGAGCGCGAGGAGTCGGCGGTACTCATGAAATGGACTCTGCCCCTATTTTAAGAGTTGATCGAACGACTTGACATCGGCTTGAATGTCTGGATGATCTTTCCGCGACGCTTCGTCCTTTTCTTCATCTGGACCATTACGGCTACTTTGTGTCGCCAATTCATGTCGCATACGGCCCGACTCCTTCATGGCTTCTAGAACACAGTTCCGGATGCAGCGAAGCTGCCGTCTGATCGTTCTTTGGTCCCATTGATCAGAGCCGATCTCCATTACTGTGATAATGCTGTTCAGCGACGGCCAGCTTACCTTCAATTCTACGGTTCGGAAGTGGTTCGCCGCCTTCGTAACATTTTCCACCTCTGAGTGAAACTTGGCCAATAAGGAGTCGTCAACTCTCTTCCTGCGCAGCAAGAGATAGTCTTTATTGGAACGGGAAAACCACGTAACCTTCCACCCCTACATGATGGAACACCCGCCGTGCTGGAACGAACTCGAGGTACTTTGACTTCAAACAGCTCAGAGGCTCCATGCATATTGTAATTCTTATAACACAACTTCCTGCCATAGCTTCTGAGATGCATATAGCATACGGTCAAGACTTACGAAGTTCTAGAAGCCCCACGAAGACCTGGTAATCATCTGACTATATATTTCGGGTTTTAGCGACTGTACTTTACCCGATAGCGCTATCTTCCTCGTGCTCTTTGCTCTCTTCTATTTTACGAGCGCCTCATTCAAGCCCCAATCCGCTAAGATTTTCGAGGAAGAAATGAAATGCGGATGGGTAGCCCCTATAACCCGTTCTCGAAACCGTGTACACTCCGTCATTAGACCGATAGCCTCTGGATCTCGACCCTGCGCTTTCCACGTGAAGGCAAGATTGTTCATGCTGGTCAGCGTGTCTGGATGCTTTGCGCCAAGCACCTTCTTTCTCGTCTCCATCACTTGCACCTCTAACTCTTCGGCCTCATTCCATCGGCCTTGATTCGAAAACGTCGACGCCAGGTTGGCCATGCTGGTCAGCGTG